TGGGCTCGTTATGTGGTCTTTATGTTTAGTATGGCTAGCTACTATACTGACTTGCATTACGTTGCATGTATATGTGTGTTGATACACACGTGTATGAATCATATTGTATTGCGCTGCGGTGATTCGATTCGACACCCCAAGCGCTTCGTGTGTTACAGGGTTTGAATGTTTCAGGTGTGGGTTGGTAGGATCGTGTTCACGCCATGTCGTCCCCTCCCCGGAAGGTAGGTGCGGCGTTCAAGAAGATGGAGCGAGCCATGAAAAAGGCGGAGGCCGCCGAGGAGGTGTTCCGCATGGTTTTGCGGGAGGCAGAGGTGTGGAGGAATGTGCGCATTCGTGCAACTGGTCGCCTCGTTGCAGTGGGTGGCCTCACGCGGGCGCGGGGCCGCGAGGCCCTTGGAGGGTAGCGGGGTAGCTACTAGGGTAGCTCATGCGTGCAACCGCATTCATCGTATCGCTTGTGGCGCTGCGTGCAACAATGTAGCGTCATGCACATGTGGGGTTGCGCGCCACTGGGGTCTGTAGGGGGGCGCCGCGGCGGCGATCGAGCCTTTTGGCCCGAGGTGTGCGTGTGTGTATGTGTGTGTGTGTGTGCGCGCAGGCTCTTGTACGTATGCCGTTCTGGTTGCAATGGTGAAGTCCACCAAGCAGAAGGCGATGGAGGCACAGGTTCGCGATGAGATTAGGGTGGAGCGTGGGGAGTGGGTTCGCCAGAAGAAAGAGGTTGTCAAGGCTGCGAAAAAGGACGTGGCGTCGACTCGCTCCTGTGTGAAAACATTGACCAAGAAGGCATGTGGTTAATCGCGCATTGATAAGTTTCCCGCCCCATGCAACGCCCATCTCCCACCCTGACCCCCGGCAGCCTCAACAGGCAGATGTCGACTGCGAAAGTTCCTCAAGGCGAAGGATGAGTGGATTAACTCAATTCTGGGCCGTGAGGCTGCGATCGAGTCGCACAGCGTCGCAGTCGCATGGCTTGAGCATGCGAAGTCCATGGGCGTGGCCGGATCCCGAGTCGGATCGCGCATTAGAAATGCAAGCTATAAAGCCGTGCACCGTGTAACGAATTATCTCTCATCTGTTGCGTTTAGCATCATGCACATGATTGCATACGAGCCCGCTTTTGATTTGCGGTCTGGCCGCAGAGTGTTAACGACGACAGCGAAGCGGGGGAGGGGATGTGCGGGTGAGGGTGATTGGCGACGGTGTGGGGGGCTGTAACACTGTTGCCCCCCAATGCATCCCCCACCGCGGTCGGGCAGCCCTGCACTTGCATGTGATGTTGCAGCGGGCATCTTATCCGCATCCCATTTGGCTCGCGAGTCTGACGTTCGCGATATCCACTTGCCACGTCGCGATCTGTCGCGCCATCTACTTGCGTTTGCTACGCAATGACGTCCGTGCCAAACCTCATCGCTGAGCTAATCAATATGCACGAATGGGTGCAAACTCATGTAAGCTGTGGGTTGGATCCCACCGCAGTGGCCAAGTGTCAATTTGACAGTTGCTCCTCAAAGTTGACAATCTGGGAAACTTGAGCACCGATGACGCGTCACTCCTCGCGAGTTCCATCCGAGACAATGCGCTAGAACAATGGAGCTCGCGAGAGCTTGCCCAGCTTTGTTCGGCCGTTGGTAACAGGACTGGCTTGCTGGGATACACCAGCGGTTCTAGGAAGTGGCAGGAGGTAACCATCTTCCCTAAATGCTTCACAGCGGCTGAGCTCGCTAAGTTGAAGGGGGGACTTCTCCGAGAAGGCGTGCGTAAACATTGTGGCCAACCGTGCCGCGCTAATTGGCATGCAGACATTCTCTGACAAAAGTCAGGCGCGAGTGGCGGCTGTGATATCACATGCCGTTGGGAAATGTGATAATGCAGATGCGTGGATGAAGTTATTGAAGGATGTGAAGAAGAAGTTGGGCGCAGCTGTCACTGCGAAAGCGTGGGCTAAACTTAACGCGGGTACATGGCGATCTGGGACTACGACCCCATCGACCAGATGCGTAGCGGGGCATGGTGGGGAGAGGCGCATGACAACGCCGAAGGCCCATGCATGGAGGACATGGGTGCCGACGAGCCCGAGTTCGTGCGAGGGTCTTCCAGCAAAATCAGGAAGACTACCGCCGTTGAGCCCGTCGCGCCCCCCACGCAAAGGCCGCGATGCCAGATGTGGCGGTTGGTGGGCAGATGCAGATGCGCCGAACATGTTCGGGGGGCAGCTGGCCGCGGCGCTCTTCGCCACTGTGGCACTCCATGGGGGGCATGCAGCTGGGTCTGCAGGGGCGTCTACATGGGCGCACGCGGGGGCGTCTTCAGGGGGCTGCCCTCTGGAGCCACCAAAGGCGAAGCTTCCGCCTCGCGATGAGCCAGCGCTCGGCAAGTCGGCGAAGACCGAGCCAACAGTTGATGGCGAAGAGCCCGATGCCAACCTGAGCGGCGAGGGGGCCGCCCTGCGCGAGCTTCTCGCCGCCAAGGCGAAGGCGGCGGCCGCGGCGACGGCCGCGCGCAAGCGCCCCGCCGCGGCTGGCGACGCGGTCGCCGATGCCGCCGAAGCTTATGCATCAGATGATGCAGATCAGCCGGAGAGCACGGGCAATGGCAAGGGCAAGGGCATCGCGCACAAGCACAATTTAGAGGCACGGGTCACTGTCTCTCTCCAAGCGGGGGGCGGCGGAAGGTGGCGCCAGCCTAAACTGAACTCTCTATTTTCTGCCTGAACCGTGGACATGATGCCGCCGAGAGCGGCGGCAGAGGGTGACGGCGGGGTCTGCGCCACGAAAAAATCATGGATTTGAGGCAGACCCCGTATCAGGCCCCCGCAGAGCTGTGACGAGGTAAGTGAACGGGGGGCGAAAGAGGGAAGGGAGGGAGGGAGAACTTGAGCGGATAACACACACATAACGTGTTATGTCAGAACGGCGCCACCTGACTTTGCGCCGCCCCCGCCCTCCCCGCCCACCGACCACTTAACAGACGGGGGAGGGGGGAGGGGGAGAGAGGACCACGGCCCGAAAAATTCATTGTTTCCAACAACGCACATTTAGAGGCACTGGCCACTGTCTCTCTCCAAGCGGGGGGCGGCGGAAGGTGGCGCCAGCCTAAACTGAACTTTCTATTTTCTGCCTGAACCGTGGACATGATGCCGCCGAGAGCGGCGGCAGAGGGTGACGGCGGGGTCTGCGCCGCAAAAAATTCAGAGATTTGAGGCAGACCCCGTATCAGGTCCCACACCGCCGCATAGCTTGCATTAGCGCCTGGCTGTGGCGGCGCCTGGGCTGGGTGGGAGGGTTCGGGCGCCTCCCACAGCCGTCGCACGTTCACAGCTTCGGCAGGGCTCCAAAAAAACTCAGTAGATCATTCGCAACACGAAATGGATCACTCACGAGCCTTTTCAGGGCGACCACTCTTCTTGGGAATCAGTCGGCTCCCGCGCTCCAGGATGTCTGGCGGGAGCGCGGCGCGGGCGGCCACCAGGGCGTGCGTTTTCATATACCTGAGCACGCTCTTCTCTGAAGCCCACCGCCCGCGCCGCTGGATGGCCCACGCCGTCCTGTAGCCCGTCGCCGCGTCGTGGCTCGGCCCCGAGTGCCTGGCAGCGTGGGGCGGGAAGTGCTCGACGCCGACGTCGTCGCAGGCTCGCCTCAGCGCCCGGCGGTAGGCATCCACCGAGCAGCTGAAGACCCGGTCCGAGGGGTCTCGCTCGGACTTCCTGCGCACAAGCATGTCGCTCACATGCCGACGGTCGATCAGCACGCCCTGCCACACGCCCGTCTTGGTCCTCTCACCACGCTCGGTCACCCCGAGTCGTAGAGCAACTATCTGCTCGCCCGCCTCGTCCACGTCGACCACGATGTCGGCCGCCCGCAGGGCGAACAGCTCCGCGGACCTGAGGTTGGCGTCCAGGGCGACCTCGGCGGCGTCAGCGGCCTCCACGCTCCCGGCCAGCCTCATGGCCTCGGCCAGCACGGCCCAGAGCTCGAGGGGCTGGGGTCCCCCTTCTCTCGCAACGTGAAGTCGATGCCAAGCTCGAACAGCTCGATTGGACCTCGGCAGCCCCGTCGAGAGCTCGGGCCACACGTAGGCAAGCCCATGCACAACGAAATCTCCTCGATGCGGACCCACCTCCTCGTCCTCGACCAGGCGGTCCAAGTAGCAAAGAACGGAGTCGTCGATCTCCTCTCGGCTCATCATCGGCAGGTTCACCTCCAGCGCGAAGTCCAGGAAGCGGCGCGCGTTGGGCACGTAGCAGCCCAGCGCCGTCTTGGTGGAGACCGAGAACGGCAGCAATGCCAGCCCATAGGTGGTTCTCTCCCGCCGTGGCACCCCCTGTGGGTGCGCGCCCTCCGCGTCGTTCCTGCGGTGGGTGTTGCCCATCTTGCGGTGCTGAGCGTGGTGCCGTAGCCTCTCTTCACCGGCGGCGTCCGATAGAAAGGGTAGCAGCAGCCAACCCAGGGGCACAGACCACCGCGGGCAACTGGACCAGCAAGCGGTCCCGGCCGACGGCTGCTCATCATCCACGTCGGGCTCCCCGAGACGAGGCGATCGTCGATGGTCAGGCGCCTGGTCACCAAGTCGAACCCGAAACATCGCACGAAGATCTTCCAGCTCCGTCCAGTGTTCCTGTTGTAGCCGCTGTCTCTCCGTCGGAGTCGCTTCTCGAAAACTCGCGACAAAGCGATCCCTTTGATCTTGCGTCGCCCTCCAGGTGCTGCTGCAAAGATCTCTGATGATGTCGGTGATCTTGTGGCGAGGTAGCCCGTGGACGAGCAGGCGCCTCAAAGCCTGATTGGGGCCGCTCAGAAGTACGTCCGTCAGGAAGGCCACGCGCCACTCCTGCCACTCGGTACCATCGGTGGCCCGCTGCGTGAGGTCGCTGAACCACTGCTGCGCCCAATCATGTAGATCTTGCATCATGTCTACATAATATTGCACCGCTTGCGCTCGAACATCGTCGGGCATGGGCGGGGGCCGGCCCATCGCACATGGGCTTCCGTCCCCAGTCAAACCGAAGCTCGAAGGAAAGCTGCAGGTAATGATTCCAGCAACGTAGCGTCCCGGCGCCTGCGCTCCAGGGTCTCTGAAATCAATTGCTCCACGGCCCTCTCGGTCAGGTCGGCCTCCCGTCTCTCCTGCATGGTCAGCATCGCGTTCACGTGGCACTCCGCCAACATCCTGCAGAAGTCGGACGGGCACGCCTGGGCCACCCTTGTCCGACAGCGACCGCTCTCGTCCTTGCCGCAGAGGCTCGCCGAGTGGTTCTCGTGCACGCAGAGACGAACAAACCGCTGCATCCCGAAGGCCGCCCCCGTGAGCGTCGTCAGCTTCAGCGCGGGGCAGCCCCGCATGCACTGCGGGAAGGTCACTCGGTAGGCACCCACCTGGGCCTCCCAGTCCACCAGCTCCTTGGTCACGAAGATCGATGGAAACGGCGGACAGCCCGGATCGGCAGGATGCTCGATGGAAGCCGAGCCGCCCTTGAGCCCGATCGCCTTCAGGATCCTCAAGCTGCTCAGCAACTGCGCGTTCCCAAGCTTCACCTTCTTCGCGTCGTCCCCTCGCAGACCCGGCCGGCCCCGCAGCTGATCTCGCAGGCGTAGCGGGGCGGGGCCTCCAGGCTGGAAGCGAACCCGCGACCAGGTAGAGCATGAAGGGCCTGAGTGTCCCCCGTCCGTTCCACTTCCGCCAGCAGCTCCAGCCTCCGCACGTTGACCTCGTCCGTCAAGTCGAACTCCGCCCCGAAGCCGATGTCCACGCTGGTGAAGATCATCAGGTAGCCTCGCGAGCCCGCGATCCTGAGCAGCCAGTCCTCCAGGTCCCCGATGCGCGTGTGGCCGCTGCAGAGATGGACGAAGCGCAGCTTTCACCGGGATCGAGACGCCCATCCTGAGCGGCTGGAAGTGGTCCACTTCCGCCAAGTCCGCCAGGGCCTCGATCCTCGAAGCCACCTTCTCCGGCAACGCCAGCTCGTCCGTCCTCCGCTCCTTCGGTGCCTGCCCAATCGGGAAACCTCGGCTCGGCCCGTCGCTGTGGTTGCGGTCCGACGGCACCCAGCGCCAGTACTCCCGCATGCCGCACCCGAGGTCGAGGGCGGCCATTCTCCTGCACAAGATCAGAATGGGCCGGCTGGCCGATCTGCCCTTGCTGAAGCCGCCGAGGCAGACCATCGAGTCCGTGATGCGTAAGTGCCTCTTCCCCCAGCTCGCCCGGGTGCGGGTTGAGTGCCTCGCCGCGGCCACACCTGTGCGCATCTCCAGCAAGTTGATGTGCTCCTTTTCCTCCCAGCTCCAGCGCGCAACCTCCTTCCACCGAGCGATGTCGTCCCAGCGCTCGTGCACCGGCGGAGCGCGGATCCGGGTGCCCAACTCCACGTCGGTACCCCCGCGTCTGAAGGCCTCCCCCTCGCACCAGGCGTCCGCAGCCCAGGACGAGGAAATGCCCGTCCAGACGGTCCAGCCTCCTCGAACTGCATATCGTGCTTCTCGACGCTGCTCCTCCACCGTTGCCCCCGTAGAGATGAGCGCACCACCGTAGAGGCTCGCATCGAACATCATCACCATCGGGTCCCAGGGCGTCGAGAGGTCCACCGAGATCAGCGGCACCAAGGCCGTAGCCGCAGCCAACTCCCTCAGCACTTCCCGTGGGACCTCGCGCCGAGCTCCACCTCGGAACTCCATGCACCATGCGTGCACGTCCGCGAAGACGCTCAAAGCACCACAGCAGATCAGGAAGCCCCAGGACAGGATGCCAACGGTCCGTGCGACGGTGTCGGGTAGTTCCCACTTGTGGATCAGGATCTCCCGTATGCCGAAGGCCGCCAACCACATCTTGTCCTGGTTCGGCGCCAGTCGAGTTTCCCGAAGATCGCCACCGATCATACGAGCGTCCGCCGCGCAAGCATCCTCGTGCACCTTGAAACCCGCGGACGCCACCAACTCCTTGGCACCGAGCCAGATCTCCTCCACCGTCGTCGCCGCCTCCTGGCCAGGCCGTGTCGGGAAGTCCAGGCCCATGATGCCGAAATCGTCGATGTACTCGTAGTGCGCAGCAGGCAGATCCCGACTGAGATGGGGTAGCGGCCCGCCTTCGGCCAAACGTTGGTCGCCTGAAAGCGAAGAAAGCCCGAACTGGGGCCCAGTATTGAAGATGTCCTCCATGGTCGTCTGAGCCATCCAGCACGCCCAGGAGAAGCCCATCAGCGCAACCTTCACCCCGACGTAGGGCCCACTCCCAGGCAGAGACGAACCTTCGGGAAGCAGCGCGTCCAGCGCATCCCCGGACACGCCGGGCAGCACGAAGTACGGCGCCAGCTCCTCCCCCAGCTCCAGCATGTAGTAGATGTCGGGGAGGTCGCCCGTGCCGAAGCACATGGTCACGCCATCCTCCTTCATCTCCTCGGACACGTCCAGAAACGACATCGCACTGACGCCGCACATGGCACACCACGGGGGAGACCGCCATCGCATGTTGGAGCGCCTCTGGTCGAACACCAGCCTCAGGGTCACCTCGGGCTCGCTCCCCACCAGCTCCGCCTTCTTCACGACGCAAAAGGGCCCGACCTCGTCCACCTTCACTGCAGTGCGGCACAACATCCCCGCCAGAGCCATCCGTCGGGCCAGCTGTAACATTTCCTTCTTCTTGCGGAAATGCGGGCCCACGTAGTTGCGCATCTCGCAGGCCTGAACACAAGCCTCGTCATCCTCTCTCAACATCTCCTCCTTGAACATCTCCAATTTCTGTGCCACGCGAGGCGACGCAGACCTCGCACTCGCAGGTCTGGTCCCCGGGGGAGGTAGAGCGACTCGGTCCCATTGAGCTGGAAACGTCTCGCCCCTGTCCGGCAGCCGTCCACTTCCGCCAGCACTCCTCCTCCGAAGTTCGGCCACCTCTGTTTGAAGGTGGACTGGGGCTGATGGCCCGCCGCCGAGGCAGCAGGACGCAGCCGAAAGAGCGCGGCTCCTTGTGAGGGTGTAGTCGACGGCGGCGACTGGCGACGAACTTCTCCCAGCACCCGCCGAGAAAGGTCCCCGTCCAGGTTGTCGGGCACGATCCCCTGACCCCAGCAGTCGGCCAGGCCCAGTAGACTGTCGTCCAGACTCCCGCGGTAGAGCTGACGCAAAGCCAAGAGAGAACGATTCGCCGTCTCCACCAGCTCCATCTCCTCCTTCTAGCGCGACAGCGCCCGACGAGAAGTCGAAGCGGGGCGCTCCGGGCGAGCGAACAGCACCACCTCGGACAGGATGTCCCGCCGCCGAGACATGAAAGCCCAAATTCGTCGTGCAAAAGCTCACGGGCCAGCCGACGGCGATGATGCGAGTCAGCTGCAGCAGAAAGAAGACACTAGCCAAAACAAGCCGACGCGCAGGGACACCACGACGCCGGCTGCAAGGGCCCCCCGGCTCGAAACCGAGTAGCCCCAATTGAAGCTCCTTGACTCTCACGGCGGGGCCACCGCGCCCCCGTCCAGGTCGGAGCGCGCCTTCATCAGCTGCGCGTCGCGACCCATGGCCTTCTTCATCTCTTCCTCGGCGCTCATCACCCGAATAGTGCTCTCGTCGGCGAGCTGGGAGTCCAAGCGACGCGCCGCCTCCCAGTCCACCTTCGACTTCCAGTTCTTGGCATCCTTGGGGCGGCTCCAGTCGTCGCGGCTGTTCACGTTGCGGTAAGCCCTCACAATGGCGTAGCCCTTTCGCACCAACCGCTCGAAGCTCACCAGGTTGAGGAGTCCCCTCTGACGATCTGTCATCAGCATCGTGTCCACCGCGGCGAAGGCCGCGATCATCTCCCGAGCCGTGTTGCAGTCGCTCAGGCCGCGGTCCCTGATGAAGTCCCGCGCCCAGGCCTCGGCCGTCTTGCCTGACGAGTAGATCTCCGACAGCACCTCGGCCGAGATCCGCTGCCGGTAGCCCTCGGGCATGCGGCTGTTCCACTCCTCGGGCTCGATCTCCTTGTACTCGTCCAGCTGCTCCATGAACACCTGCTGCGGCAACTGAGCCTTGAAGCGCATCCTCTTGATGGCCAGCTCGACGGCCTCCGGCTGCGAAGTGGCAACTCGCTTCTCGGGCGTCTCCATCAACACCGTGGGGTACTCTTCGTGGGCGACCCGAGCACGGCGACGGCCGAAGCCGAAGAACTCGTCCCCTCGATAGCAGCACCATGCTCGCCAGCTCCGGCCTCCGCAGGCGCCTCGCCCTTCAGACGAGCCTCGAACTGGTCCAGCCGCGCAATCATGCCCTCGATCACCTGCTTGTTGGCCTCGGCGTCCGCACGACCCCGCGAGTCCAGAGAAGCTTCGAGTACATCCCGACGTATTTCCCTTGTCCTCTCGGCGGTCCTGATCTCGCTGATCTCCTCCATCATGGCCTTCTGGGACTCCACGAGATCGTTCAGCTGGCTCGCCAGCGCAGCGCTCTCTCCGCTTGAAAGATAGCCAGGCGGCGGCACGGGCGGAGGCACCGAAGCAGTAGCAACGACGGGCATATCCACACTCGAAGCGCTTGATGACCCAATCGAGGACTCTCCATGCTCCACGCTGTCCGACCACTCGTGAGCCGCCCAGATGGTCAGAAGGATCAGGGACAAGAACATCGCAAACCAACGCTGAAGAGGCATCAGCTTCTGGGCCCACTCCTGCCACTCCCACAAGTAGGTGGCCCACTCCTGGACGACCTCCGAGCTCTCCACGAACGCATCCTTGGCCGTGACCAGGTAGCTGATCGTGTACACCCAGACCTCCTTCATATACTCGATCACGCCCAGCAACACCAGCAGCTCGTACAATACGAACAACGCGGCCAGCACACCCAGGAAACGCTTGGGACTCCTCAAAGACCACCTCGGCGTCTTGAGTGACGAAGCCCCCGAGCTGAAAACGGCATACAGGACGTTCACCGCGATCGCCTGCTGACCACCCTTGCCGGGGCGATAAAGCGGCAACATCGGCACCGTCGACGCCCTCAATCCCTCCGTCGCCTGGCTGACGTAGGCGCCCCTCTGGGCTGCAGAAAGAGGTGGCATAGGCCGCCGCCGAATCCCCGCCACAGGGTCCGCGAAGATGGACGTCTTCGCCGTGATACAGATCAGGCCCAGCGTCAAGTCCGGACCGATGACGGCCCACACATTGCCGCTCTTGCGGCGCACCAACTGCACCTCCACACCGTCGGTCGCACTCTGGCGGTAGAAGCGGCGAGACCATGGCTCCACTGGCATCTGTAGCTCGAGACCCTCGACCTCGTCCGCTGAATCCTGCTCCACGATAGGATCACTCACCAAGGAGAAGAGCGACCACCAGGAGACCGAACGGCCAGCGCCAAAAGCGAGCCGTCTCGTCGGCGCTCTGCAGCGCACTCACCGGCAGGTCCAGCACCTGCCCCTCGTCGTAGCACTCTTGCTCGACCAGGTCCCACGAAGAGCAGCCCGAACTGTCGGGATCGCCCGCACTGCTGCCGCGCGGTGAGCAAAGGAAGAAGTATTCGGGCAAGGCCGCAGGAACCCCTGCGGGCATGCTCGAGCCAAAGAACTTGAGCGGAGAACACACACATAACGTGTTATGTCAGAACGGCGCCACCTGACTTTGCGCCGCCCCCGCCCTCCCCGCCCACCGACCACTTAACAGACGGGGGAGGGAGGAGGGGGAGAGAGGACCACGGCCCGAAAACTTCATTGCTTGCAACAACACACAGGGCCATGGCACATGCAAGGGAAACGGCAAGGGCAGCACGAGCACGGGCAATAGCACGGGCAAGATCGTCGCGAAGAGGCCCACACGCCACGTCGCAAAGCCGAAGGTGCTGCCGCCGCCTGCGAAGGCGGGGGACCTCCACTACAGGGCTGGCTACGTCATGACCCAGAACGACAAGCAGGTATATTGCACCGTAGTGGGGCGGTGCGACAGGAGGATCAAGTGGGGCCCTGGCGTGCGCTCGCGCGCTGAGGCGTGGTCCGTTGCCTTGGCCTTCATCGACGATCGGTCGTAGGCTAGCACATCTCATCGTTTGTTGTTGCAGCGATGTATTCGCTTGTGCATCTGTGGTATAAAACAAATACGGTGCGATCATCACATCTTGTTTCATTCGTGTCGATTGCGTTGCGGTCATCGCATCTCGCATCAGTCCTCAAGCATTTTGGCTGGTATGGCGTCGGGCCCGCGGCCGAAGCGGTCCCGAACGCACTCCGAGGCATTAGTTGAGGTCCACCGCGGTCCGTATGTTTCCCAGACAGCATTGTCTCACGTGCTCACTTACGTTCGTGACAATGGTTTGCCAGACGCTGTCTCGCGGGTTTCCCAATATAGGGCGTAGGAGAAACAGGTGGTCAATGATCGTAACACATATGGCCTTATATTGAATGGCATGCAGATGCCTGTTGGCGACGATAACGATGGGGGCACATTTGAGAATTTGGGTGTGCAACCCAGGGGCGCTCTTGTACGCCACATGCAAGAAAGCGGGCCATTCAGGCCATTGATGCGCCACCAATTGCAAGAGCACCCATGTTCTTCAGCTGTGCCTTGGAAGATACTTCTTTATTTCGGTGGTATATCGCCACGCGATCCTCTCGCGAAAGGCAAAGACCACCGTGGTATGGATGCTGTGTACTGGTCTTTTGCCGAATTCGACGAACACTGGCAAAACGAAGATCTATGGTTCACCCTCAGCGCCACGCGCGTTGCCAAGGTGAAGGATATGCCTGCGGGCATCGGGCAATATATCCGCATGATGCTCAGCGAGCTTGTTTAAATGGATCGGGTGGCGTTAACTTTGACAACGGGGGTTGCGCTGGATGTACCTGCGTTGTTTGGCGCAACAACATACGCAGCGATAGTTGCGATATTGGCATGTGTTATCGGAGACGAGGAGGCATTAAGGGAGCTTCATGTGAACAAGGGGGCACGCTGGCTCTACGCCCTGCGCAATTGGCAGGAACGTCCTTAACAAGAAATTCGGCTACACACAAGTCGGCAGTTCGGGGACGTACGTTGATGATACCTGCCTTGACAAACGCAAGCTCGTATACAACACCGACGCGACAGCCGCCGCGATCTTGGAGAGGTTGCGCCCTGATTGGGAGAGGTACCGGCGAGGCGAGCTCACAGACGCGCAATGCACATCTGTCACGCAGGTGAAAGGTTGGAGTTTCCATCCAATGCATGTCGCACTGGGCCCGTTTCCTAGATACTTGGTGATGACATTCTTCCGCTTTGATTGGATGCGCGTATATTTCGTTAATGGTATTTTTGATCGGGAAGTCAGGGCCCTCCTAGGGCGCAAAGGAGCTGTGCAGCGCCGACGACCACCGCGACTATTTCATGAAGTGGACATGGCCATCCAAACACCACTCTGCGGCAACAGTCTGGCAAACGGGGGACTTCCAGGCGAGTGCCTCGCAAGAGATATCTGCGATTCCCGTGCTGGCTCTATGCATCAGGCAAGTCATTGTCAATGCATCATCATGCGATGCAGTCGCAGACCAGATAGCAAGCATGCTGGCGTTATGTGACGCCGTGGCTGTTATTCTCTGCGCGTCGAGGCGATTGCCATGCGCGCGCGACGAGGCTGCGCCAGCAGTGTTGAAACATTTGGAGCTTCACCAGCGTGCATATGGCGCCAAGTATTGGGTGTATAAGAATCACATGGCTATCCGCTGGGCTGATATGTTTGAGAGGCATGGTGCTTTAACATGTTTTGTCCAAGGGCGGAAACATAAGCATGTCAAACTATTCGCACAGGACCACTTGTGCAAGACGAGGCCCGAGAAGGCTGTTGTGATCCAGCCCGCGGCTCAGCACGCGCATGATATACATAACATCCGCGGATTGTCACTGGAGTGCGAGTTCGAGTGCGCCACAGCTGCAAGCAAACGTTTGTTGAGTGCTCTGCAGCAGCTGCGGCCGGGCACACATGCAGCAGTCTCGACCATTGAAGCGCACGCCGAACATGGTGGAACAATCGAACGTGGTGACATAGTTGTGATGGGGCGCGATCGTGGCCACGTTGCAGTCCAAGTGTGGTTCCACGTGAAATGCGACGGCGATCCGCCGCAGAGCTGAGTTCATATTCTGATTACAAAGTTTGTGCATGCGAGCGAACACTTTTCTAGGCATGTTATCGATGATGCCCGCGATCCCGTTCTCATCCCCTTCAGTTCGTTGAAATCTCCAGTGGTTTACAGAGGAGTTGGCGATCATATCGCGTGCATTTGGCCCGTTGAATACCGTGAGTTGTTCTGTTAGCGCATACTTTGAAACAAAAGCAACGACATCGATATGCAACGAAAGCAACATGCAATGCCGAAAAACAAAATGCCTCCAAACAACCCTCAAGTAAAGCCAACAAGACAAACACGCCACTCCCAACAACTCCAACACGGTAACTAGTTATAACGAGTTACAAACTAGTTAAAACTCCAGCAAATTATTACTAACCGACGCGTTCCTTGACGCGAAGTTTCAGAAGAATGGGCTCGTTGTATCAAGGAGATAGCCACGCTGTAATTGGTTCGCTGCATCATTGATGCTGACGTGGTGGATTCCGCCCTTAAGCAGAAGATGTGTCAGGCCATCACGAATGTGGTGGAGGTGCATGGTCGCGGATGGATTCCTTCTAGTGGTGAGGATCTGGCCGCCATGATGCGAACTGGCAGACATCCACGAGAAGTCGTCCGACATTTGACCCAAACGCCTCACAATGGATGCACATTTCGGACCACCGCCATTCGCATAGTCTCTGATTCGGCGCGTCAGTTTCGCAATGTACACGAGAAGAAGCTCGGTGGTTCTGCAAGACTTCAATATTTCATGCGGGGGGATCTTCAAGGTCTGGATGCAGATATAAAGGAGGGTGCTTGCGAAAGATCGCTCCTGCAACATATGGTAAAACAAGATTTGTGGGATAATCGGATTTCGCCCCGTACTGGAAGTTTCGCCCCGGGCCAGCACGCGCCCATGCAATTCATATTTTGGTCCCTGAATGGTATTTCTGATGGGCACCAGTGTAACCTGGGGGGCCCAGGGGGCGCCGAGCCTCAAATGCTACTTGATGCCCGGCCCCTTCTTCGAAACAGCCGAGAGAATGATCGACGAGGCTGTGAATCGCTCCAAGACGGGAGCAATCCAGATATGTTACGTTGGCGGGGATCATCGATGTTGGCAATCGGAAAATGGCACATTCAAGATGAATGCCATGTGGGATGATATCGCCACTTTGCTGCGGGCACGTATGCACCTGTGCATTGAACGGTGCAAGGCTGTGGGGATTCAGCCTAGAATGATGGTTTTGGATGGCGCTTGTCTGTATCGGAGATGGCATCACACCCCGTTTGATGCATGCCATTTTGTCGATCAGCATGAATCCGACACATTGGACACACGTGGTGCACTGGCAGGGATTGCTGGGGCGAGATAAGTGCGGATCATATGCTGAAAGCGGCAAAATTTGCGACCTGGTTCTTCTGTCAGCCCTCTGGCGGCTCAGCCGCCCAGGGGTGGATCTGCGATAATGAGCTGCGAGAGGACGGCTTTGCAACGATTGAAGCTACATGTGACGAGCACGTGTCTCACTGGGCTAATTGGTGTTCTACCGGGGACGGTGCTCCGACGTCGATTTTGGGAGCGCCCCCGTTCGCTGAGCCACTATTGCAAAGCTCATTCCCGGCTGCCTCGACTGGCGCGGGACAGGGGGCGCGACGTTCCTTGTTCTCCCCGGGGTGGCGAGATTTATTTCGATGGAAACTGGGCATCAGATCTATTTGCAATGGGGTGACTTGAATTTCTTTCTCACGAGGAGCTTGCCATGCACTCCTGGCGCGCCCTCTGAGGGGGGAGACGTGCGGCGTACAGGGGAAAAGGTCCTCATTGGTCGGTTCATGCAACAAGCGATCGTTTTTTTTTTTGGGGGGGGGAGGCATCTCAACCCAGCTCTCAGCCCCCCGCCCAATCTGCCAAACGGGCGGTTTGGCGAGCCTCGGGGGCGCAGCCCTTAGCCATGCAAGGTGATCAGTTGCAAGTCAGCCCCGGAGGAGCGGTGCCAACCGCTGGCTCTGCCGGCACAGCCTCGCACAGTCCGGGTGGCGCAGGGGCTGGGGGGCTGGTCGGGCCTGGCGCAGCCACGAGTCCAACCAAGCACCGGGCGCGGTCAGTTGAACCTACTAGGGCACTGGCCGCTGTTTCTCCCCCGGCCCACTGGGAGCGATTACTATAGCAGAAGTTCCTTGCCTTCCAGAAAGGGACACAGCTAGGCAAGAAAAAGAAGACATCTCCTCCTGTTGGATCCGATCATGTGCGCAGATGGCCCATTGAGTTGCCGCATCAGTCTGCGATCGGAGTGACTGAGGGGCATGAGTTACCTCCCTGAAGCCCTTGAATGCTAGGGGGCTGGCTAATCGCCTCTGCAGCGATAATAATTTGCGGCCAGGAGGAAACTATGATCAATTTTTGCAGAAGGCCAGGAACAATGAAACATTCGTGCATAGTGAAACTTGCAAACGCTTGTGTGTGCCATCGAACGG